TGATTAAAGTTGCGAGTTTCCTTTGATTCAAATCAAAAAATATTTTTATCATTTTGACCTTTTGTCATTTGACCCTTTGTCGCACTTTTGACCCTTTGCCGTTTGACCCTGTGTCGTTTGACCCAGTGTCGTTTGACCCTGTGTCGGTGAATCATATACAGGGTTTCACTCAAAGAATGTGACTATAGTTAGAGACGACTGTGTAGAATTTTTTCAGTCTTTTCTTTAAATTCATTGTTTCCTAAAGCTTTAAACTGGTTAAATCATTAAATATATTCTTCGATATTCTTTATATCAGGAATGAGTACATTTCAAACCCTCAGATCCGTACACTTATAGAGCTTTATGTCGTTATTAAAGACTTAATTTTTGTGAATAACCCTATATTAATTTACAAATCTGAAGGATTGAATACCCGACATATTCATTTTTCTGGTAACAGCCCGCGAGTTTAGTTCAGCAGAGGGTTAGACTCAAGCAGAGAAAGACTCGAGTGTATTGAGGTTCAGACTGGACTTTTATCAATTTAATCTGTGGGAATCTTTTTTTATTGTTAACCATTTTTTTAAACATTTTTAAAACTTTACATTTTAACTTTACAGGGAATCTAAGGGATTTTTACTTTGCCAAAATGGATCGAGAAAGCCCGTGGTCAAGTAAAATTTTTAATTTCCCGAAAAAATAGTTATATCGTATTTTGAGATAAAACTGTAGGAACACTTCGCAGAGCAAGTGGTTTTTTCTCTTAATTTTCCAATTTTCCCAAGGGACGTTAAGTAACTTAACGTTCCTCTATTAGGGGAATCATAGGTTGGTAATATTTAGTAAAGGATTTGAGTTTTTGCCACAAACTCTGATTTTCTAATTACTATATCTTTTTATCCCTATGCTGTAGACCTTTAATATTTCAAACTATGAATTCTGTTAGATCAAATAATCTATTTTTGAAATATTAAAGGTTTAAATCATCCGGTTACAGAAATATAGAGATTAGAAAATTTGAGTTTGTGACAAAAACTCAATTCCTTTAGTATCTTATTTGTTAACGTATTACGGAAAGCGTTTAAAGAACTTTACTTAAACATTGTAAAATACTTTTCCTGCGAAATTTTGTCAATATTGTTGTATTTTATCTTATTGTCATATAATTTCCATGTATATTAGGATTTGTAATAAATTCCAATAAATATTTTTATTTATTTCTAAGAATATAATACAAATTTAACTTATAGCCAGGATAAACTGAGAATAGTTAAGTTATTCTCCGGGGAGCAGGAGAATATAATGTTCTCTATAGGTGAACCTTGATACTAGGAGAATATAATGTTCCCTAGGTAAACCTGGATACTAGGAGTGTTACGCGAGCCATGCTCATAAAGTCTATGTGATGCCCCTGTGAATCCCTGAGTTCTCCCTGCGGATCTGTACAGAACGTATTGTAAAAAACTAGTTTTAGAAGCTGTTTCCAGACCGACTACGCATGCGCAAGTTTTCTGCGTGGAAGCGGGCAGATTCTACCTTAGTATATATTTGTTTTTCATGTAAGATCGTTTATTATTAAACCGTGTGAAATTCTAGGATCACTGCGGTAATTATGCTTTATATTTATATGAATCTTGCTTATTTATGTTCGGTTATGGTTGGTATCTTATAATGTAATGTATTGGTTCCATTCCACAGTTTTTTAATGCCTGAGTTGATTTATTGCTGTGCTTGTATGATTTATCACTCAATGCTTTTTCTGTGGGCTTATAAAAGATTATTTAGATTGAAGACTCGGAGAAATAAACGTTCGGAACCTTATTATTATCCTTTTTTCTGTGAAGAAGCCAGTAAAGAATGTAATTGTATACATCTGAATAATTAAAGAAACACTTGACAAGTTTCAAGGTTTCTACAGGAAATGAGGAAATAGAAAGAAGTTCTACAAGAAACAGAGGAGATAAACAAGATCACACCAAACTAAAGGAATTATTGAGAGGAGAAGGATTAATAGGGTCACTCCGAGCTAAAGAGGATTATTGAGATGAGAAACATTAACAGTATCACTCCGAACTAAAGTGGATTATTGAGAAGAGAAGGATTAACAGGATCACTCTGAACTAAAGGGGATTATTGAGAAGTAAGGAGAAGGATTAAAAGTATCACCTCTAACTGAAGAGGATTATTTAGAGAAGAAGGATTAATAAGGTCACACTGAATGAAAAGGGTTCTCAACTCGTACCGTACAGTCATTGCTCCCAAGCAGAGAAATAAAGCCTAACAAACCAATCCAAGAATAAAGCCAAACAATCTACCCTAAGCCCAAGAGGATATTGAACCCTTAGTATGTTTGCAGCCTCAGTATACAACAGGCTAAACCCGCAAGGATATTGAACCCTTTCTTATCTGGTAGATATCAAGTTGATACGGTTAAAAGGCGGAGAAAGGAGTAAAACTGCATTTTAAGAGCCAAGGTAGAAAGCAGTGTCTTCGACCATCTTATGCCCCAGGACTAAGCCAGTTCTCACAAAGTATCTGATCAGAAGGGTCGAATGAAAATACATTCTCCTCAGGCGAATGTTGTGTGTATTTAGATCAACTTTAGTCTGTCCAGCACTAATCATTTGAAGTGTTAAAATGTAAATATAGTTTTGTGTACAACCATACTTCATTATTCCACTCAATGTTGGCTTTTTGATACTAAGTTCTTTTCATGTCTATAGTATAATCAATAACTATAATTTTTGTGATATAAAAAGCGAAATAAAAGAGATTATTTTGAAATCTCTAAGAAAGCTCACATATTACGCAGATCTTATCAGAAACTTATTAATTGATCTGTTTTGTGTATTATAAACTTTAAAGGGAATAGTGACATGTCCGATTCAAGGTTTTAACTGTTAAAATTAGTTTTTTTGACTTTTGGTTTCTCTACAATTGTGACTTGTGCATTTCTGCTACAGAATTCTGAATCATCTTTAAAGTAACTCTTCAACACTTTTTGTATTTTTGTATTTTTGCCACCGTCCATGATGGTGTAAGCCATTGATATTTAATACTTATTATATTTGATCTAATAGACCTCATATTTCGAAATATCCAAGGTCGACGACTTTATGTTGCAAAGAAATCGGGATTAGAAAATCAGAGTTTGTGGCAAAGACTCAATTCCTTTGTATATGCATTTCTCCACGGTTGGTATCCCATTACGTAAATCTATGTGATTAAAATGTAAAGTAAACTGTTGATGTCTTCGCTAACCTAGGAAATATGTAAATGTTATGTTTTAGCTTTTGTCTTCTTTTCCTCATTTTCTATTTCATCTCGATCCGCGTCTCTCTCTTTATTTTCTTGTCTTTTCTTTCCCTTTTAACTTCCTTCGAACTTCTAACAGAACATAAAAACTTGCGGCATTTCTTGAAACAGAACTCGCGGATTTTCTTCGATCATAATATTTGTTTCATTTGGATAGTGGGACCCATTAAATATGGTAAAAATTGAGAATAAATAAATTTCGTCTTTGACTGAACGATTCTACGAATTACAGCTTTCCTAGTAACCATAAGCATGCTTTGGGACACCCTGTATCTGTATTTCCGGTCTCTGCCAACCAAATTCCATTATTTTGCCAATTACTCCTTTTAACCTGAATTTAAAAAACAAGCGCATTGTAATTAATAATTATATAATATAAAAATAAATATTATATGATTATATAAGTATATAATCATATAAATTTGGTAAGGTAAAACTTATTAGGCCAAGGCGTTGCGACACTTTAAAGTCGAGGCTGTCCAAACATTTGATGAATAATTTCCAGAGTTCATTTAATTGAATTATCCAGAGGCCAAATTAAAAGAATTTGAGCTTTGGCTTAAATTTAAGACGCGGCCAAACATGGTTGGTTCCACTTAAAATTGTATACAATGTTTAAAATTTTAAGCCGGCGCTTGATTGAAACCAGTTTAAGGCGAATTTGAGACACGGCTCAAATTCATTAAATTCGGACTCGGTAAACTTTAAGTATACTTTATCCTCAAGAGGTATACATTCGGGTATTTTAGAAGTGCTTAAGTGGAGTTGTGGCTGTATGGCACTTTCAAGGACTTTTCAAGTTTTTTGAAAATGTCTGAAAATTTCTCTCAAAAAATGAATGTTTCCACTAAGATGGTTATAATAAAATCTTAAACTGTATTATTTCTAGAAAAATCAGATTTTAAATGTCAGGGCCCAAAATTAAAATTTGAGGATTTTTTGAGGAATTATTGGGGATTTTTATAAAATAAGGGTTTGGAGATTTTTTTAAAGAAAACTTATGTGATTTTTTCACTGATTATTGTGCTGTGTAAGTATGTTACCAAAGAGAATGTTTAAGAACGAGTTGCTTCTATATCCTTTCTATTCCCTCTGATCAAACCCATCAAACACGATTAACTTAGTGAAGAATTTAACTTCTTTGTTTGGTCAGAAACTTGATTTATCTAACTAAAGTTAAAGAATTAAAGATCGTGATAGGAATAGGATTAATAAAAACTGAAATTTACAGATTTAACAGAATAGGATCTATACAGGGTTACCCGAAACGAATGAGATTTCACTGACGACTGTACGTAATCTTTTTTAATCTTTTGACATGAATTAAACCTTGAAACCTTGAAGAAAGGTCGGTCAACGATGTATAATGTAAACCATAATACATGTGCTATGAGAACCCTCACAAAATTGAGCTATGGTTTAGTTTAAGGAAATTTAAAGCGAAATTTCGAGTTAATACATTATAAATGATAGCTGTCTCAGACTAGAGTTCAGACCTAAAAGAGTAGAAAAGCTGAACAGAAATGGGAATCCTTACTTTTTGGACTAATCTTAAAGCGTGAAATTCTAAAAGTGTTATATCGAATATATATATGTATATATGTGTATTAAGATAAGTAATATTTTATTTTCTGAAAAACTTGAAAGTACAAAATATTTTTAATTGCGATAAATATAATATATTTTTTCTTTTTTCTTCAACTATAATTTGTTATTCTTTAACCCCTTCCACCCCTACCCCCTCCTCCTCTTCCTCCTCTTCCTCCTCTTCCTCTTCCTGTTGCAAAAAAAGTGCAAAAAAAGGAAATATTAAAGAAAATTCTCAAACGCTCACTTAAAAAAAAATTATATGCCTCTCTCAAAGGAACTGAGTTTTTGCCGCAAACTCAAATTTTCTGAAACCTATATCTTTGCAACCTGAATATGCAAACCTTTGATATTTCAAACTTAGACCATTTGATTTAACAGAATTAACAGTTTCAAATATCAAAGGTCTACGACATTGGATTGCAAAGATATAGTGATAGATAAATTTGTGTTTGTGGCAAAACCTCATATTCTTTATGGGAAAAACTTTTATTTTGAAATATTCTTTTAAAAAAATTTCAGCAGTCATATTTTTCATAAAAAACTGGCAAACCTCTGTTGTTTCTTTTTTCTCTCTTGACACAGAATTCATCGACACATCTCTCATTCACCTTAAATAATGCAACTTTATAAAATTTGGTGACTAACTAGCTCCAAAACTAAACTTAAAATTGTTTTAGTTGTATAATCTAAGCCCATTTCATTATATGATTTCTCATGAGCACCCATATTCTAAATGTCTTCTAAATTCTTCCGAAATGATCTTTAATTTTTTTTTCAATTCGCCACCAAAGATATTACACCCTTGCTCTGTCTTGTTCTTTCATAAAGGGAAACATTACGAAAACTAAATCCAACAAAGAAAGTTTTGAATCAAATATGTTAAATATCTAATGTGAATTTATAAACAAGTATTGTAAAAAAACATTGTAAAGCACGACCGAGTATGTTTGTTAATAATTCAAACATAAAGCTTTACGAGAATAAATATTTAGATCTTTAAAAATGAATAAATATACTTACATCGCAATCAAAGTTGTCGAAACATGTGAACGATTTTAGTAAGCATTCATTTTCCACACATTCATAATCTTCATTATACTAAACAGGAAACATTTTTTTTTAAATGTCTGTGGAGGGGTAAATATAGTTTTAGGAGTAAAAATTGCTCAAGAAGATCAGATCGTGCTTCGAAGGCTAAAATCTTTCTGAAGGCTATTCTCATTCTGGAGGTTTAGACCGGAAGTATTTAACAGGTTTATAACAGGAGAACATCGCTCTGGAGTATTTAACAGGTTTATAACAGGAGAACATCGCTCTGGAGTATTTAACAGGTTTATAACAGAACATCGCTCTGGAGTATTTAACAGGTTTATAACAGGAGAACATCGCTCTGGAGTCAAAAATTTGTATTGGCCCAAACCTTTTGTTTTTATTGCAAACTTTATAAAACCAGGACAAAAAATATACTTTATTAGAGTCTGCAATCTTTTAACTAATTCTAAAATTAATGATAAAGGCAGACAGAAAAATTAATTTTAAAAAACATATTTTATTCTAAAATGAAAAATAATATACGAAAGAAAAAGTATAAAAAAGTGAAACGTACTTCATCTAGACAATCATCATCATTAGTGCACTCATTACATTTAGCGTTTCTCCTGAAGGATTAAATATTTAGTTTTCAAAACTAGACAATTTTACATTCCTTTAAGAGATGTTTTTTTAATCAATACTCCCCAGCCCGGACAATTTTAAAAGCCACTTTTGAAACCATTTTCAATGAAAATTCTATTTTTTGTTAATATCTTTCAAGTAATTTCAAAAGAAAGCTTTGAGCCCGATCGGTTCAGCCGTTTTGACGTTTATTGGATACAAACAGACAGACACCCAAACAAAGTAGGGTCTGTCCTAGAGAACGATTTTTGTGACCCCCCTCCCCGCCCCGGCGCCCCCGCCCCATCCTATCAATTTTGTACATGACCACTTATTTTTCAGCAAATTTATTGTTACTTATTTTTTATTATTCAGGGTTAGGTTAGGTTAAGACACTTTCTGGGCCGAGCGCTGCGGCCACGGAGGTTAAGTTTAGATACTTTCTCTAGGAAATTACCTATAAGTAAATATATAGAGTATGCTTTCATGCCGCCCATTTTCTATTTCAATTTTAAACATTTTCTCTTTGTTTACATTGTTAAACAATAACAAAAAAAGGTCGCGGATTTCTTAAAAAAAAACTCGTGGATTACCAAAATTTTATAAAAATCGAATATGGGCCCAATCGGTTATACTTCTTTGAATTGTTTGTTCTCACCAGATAAGAAAATAAAAATTGTGAATAAAAATTTCTTCGACACTAAAATTTCTTTAACCTTAAATAAAAAAATATGTTTAAATTATGAAAAAATTATAAACTTTTACCCATTTCCTTGTTTACAGTTTGACTCAACTGAAAAATAAAAAAAATAAAATTTAATTTTAATTCAGTTAAATAAGATTCTCAGTAGTGTCCATATATCGTCTTTGTTAGATTTAGCACTGTATAATTGTATAATTGTATTACATTCTTTTTTTAGAAACAAAATTTCTATAAGCGGTACTTCTATTCAAAATGCTAAAACTAAATATAAAATAGACAAAATTAAAAAATACGCCAAAGAAAGTTTTTTTTCTTGACTTTTTTTCGCCCCTGAGGCTGAAGTCTCTATAAGAGCTGAACACTTGCCTCAAATTCAAATGTTCTTATCTTATCTTAATATCTTTGCAAGCTTAGAATATTAAAGTCAAGTTAAAATTAGAGTAATCAGTTCTTTTTTTTCAAAGCAGTAAATTTAAAAAATAAGTTTTTCTTACTTCTCTTTCTAGAATTGACGATTTCTCGAGCCATAGTTTTAAAATCCATTGCAGCATCTCTTAATATTTTCGTACAGGACAACCATCGTGACCCAACCTGATCAATTGCAAGGTACTAATGCAAGGAAAGTTAATTGCGGTCACGAATACTCTGCGTACATATTGAAATCAGTTCTCTCTGGGCGGAATTTGTAAACAAGAGTAGATGCATCAGTGTTCGTTTAGTATCCGAGGAGGTTAAAAGCATTTAATTTTGAAAATCCACATAATAGTTTCCTATGACCAGAATATTTCATAGATTGTTTTTTGTGAAAATGGATTCCATGTCAGGCTGGGACATCCGTCTTGGGTCCCAGTACCAATCCAAAATTTACCCAAACCTCTCATCTTGTGTATAATATCTATCTCTCAAGGTCTTGAATAAGTGGGTTTAACATTACACATTTTATTGGTACAAATATATCTGTTAATATCTATTTATATTAAATCATATTTCATATATCTGTAGAGTCCTTCAGTGGTAAAACCAGTCTCCACTAGCTCTTATATAAGAAGAGTCCCTCAGCGGTTAAGCAAGTCTCCACTAACTCTTATATAAGGAAGAGTCCCTCAGCAGTTAAGCAAGTCTCACTAACTCCTAAATATGAAGAGTCCCTCAGTGGTTAAGCAAGTCTCCACCGACCCTTATGGAGGAAGAGTCCCTCAGCGGTTAAGCAAGTCTCTACAAAGCTCCTGGAGTCATTACATTGTCCCGTGTACGAACCCACCGTGTAGCCTGCTGTATCACCTCAGTTCTCCGGATGACCCGGAGTTCCCTGAGTCTATTCAATTCCTCTATTATCTCCAAAGCTCCATTGGGTGGTTCTGAGCGACCTAAAAGTATTCCCCTGTTTCTGAGTTGTGTCTCTAGGTTTTCAATCCGACTTTTAGGTATCCTCGGTAGGTCATATCCACTGGTGCAAATACGGCGGACTCCAATAAAGGTGAGATCCTCCCAGTGATCCATAATCCTCCAGTTCTCTCTATCAGATCTGGGGCTCGATATATCCCATCTTCATAGATCCTCATGATCTCCTCTTCACCTGGGGTCATGGGCCTGTATTGATCCTCTGAGTCTCCAGTGTTTACAACCATGGAAACACCTGAAATATTATAGTGTGTAGGTAGTTGAACCAGTTGTATAGAGGTGGAACTACATCTCTCTGATTCTCTTGTCTGTTCTACAGTTCCAGTGTTTCTAACCATAGAAACATCTGGAATATTAGAGTGTGTGGGTAGTTGAACTAGCTGTACTGAGGTAGAACCACACAGCTCTGTTTCTAACCTATTTGTTTCATCCATTGTATCTGTCCCTTCCATGATATCCATTTGATCCGTCATAAACCTGAGTATCAGACTCATTAATGGTTTATTGATGTATTCTTCTGTATTCTGTATTCCTGAAGATATGATCGTTTAGATACAATCATATAAGTCTACATGCTATACACCTTCTGAGAGCTGTCCATGAAGTGCCTGTCCCCCAGCCTTGTTTGAACAAACGGAGCTCTGGCTCATACGTCTGTTCTATTCAAGGATCTGGGGTGCACTGCCCAATCTTAATGAATCAGTTCAGGTTAATTACTCTGCTTTGATTCTAGTAGGTTGCTTCAGGTAGATAGAAAGGGTTGAAAATTAGAACAAAGGACCACGCCTTTAAATATTACACGATCAGGGGTTATACTTTTGTATTCCTTCTTTCAGCTGAGATGTTGATATGAACAAAGCTAAAGATGGAGTTCTTGTTAACTATTTAAGTCCTATGTTTTGCTACTCCCCTCTAGGATACGTCATGGGCAACTAAACATAGCGCTCCGCCAAACTGTACAGTCAGGAGCTGCTATGAGAGAGGTCCGTACCCTCCAAGAGTGGTAAGCAACTGATAATGACGACAATAAATGTAAAAAAAAAAATCGACAATAAACTAATTAAATACCTAAAACTAGCCATGTAAAATTTCCATGTAAAATATTACAAAAATATTCTACAAAATGACTGAAAGAAAGCAAAGAAATTGAGTCTTTGCCACAAACTCTGATTTCTAACCCTATGTCTTTAGAATCCAACGTCGCAGTTCTTATATATTAAATAATTTTAGATCAATTAATCTAACTCTGTTTACATCCAATGGTTTACAAGATATAGAGATGAGAAAAATTAAGTTTGTGACAAAGACTCAATTCATTTCTCCAAGTCCAGTGATATTTTGTAAAAAAAACTAATCATTTTAAAACTGTTTTATGATAAACTGTCTCACCCCCCCCCCCCCTCCTGGAAAAAAATATATTATATTGTTGACTGTTGAGCAATTTAAAGAGTAGATTACCTTGAATGGAAATTCTAACATTCTCCATTTTTTCTTTTCTCTCGCGGGAATAGTGTAACTCTATATGAACAGAGTTGGAAACTTTTGAAGAAAGTTAAACTAATTTAAATTGATTTAAATGAAGTAAAAGTCATTCTTTTTCGCCGGCAATTTTTGCACAAGTCCTTTGAATAGTTTGGGGGGTTTGCAAATACAATGAACGGCTGAACCGATCGGCCCACATTTTGAGTGGGACCTCACATGACCCCAGGTAAGGTTTATGGATGATCAAAATTTCAAAAAATAGCCTCCAACTTAATTCAATTTTCTTAAATGATTGAAAATCCACGATTTTTTTTTTATAAAATCCATGAACTTTTTTTTCACGTTTTACAACATATTCAAAGAGAAAATTTAGTTACTTGTTTCAGAAAAGAAAAAAATACTTTATAGCTTTAATTTTTTAAAGAAACAATCTTTAAAACTTTATGAATGTTTACCTTTAAATTGTTACACAAAATTGAGGCCATGGATTGCCTAACAAATATTAAATTTTATTTCAGAGAAATTTTATAGTTTCTAAATTATTTTTAAAATGGTTTTCGTACTTACTTCAATACCTGGGATTTAGCAATCAATTCCAACCCTTTCTCTCTTTTCCCGCTCAGTCTAAACATCGATATTTAAGAAAAAAATTAAAATATTATTTTAGATTTTTTTTTTGAAATAAGACATTTTGATTATGAACCTGTATCCATGAGTAAAGAAGAATCTGTCTCCAAACTTTAATCTTCTAAACTGCTCCGCTATTATGGCGCTGTTGGTTGGTCCTGTCACACCACCCTGAACAAAATATCAGCTGATTCCGCCATCTTTAATTTAACACATATCGACTATTCCGCCATTTTTGATTTTAAAAATATCAGCTGATTCAGCCATCATTCAATTAACAATTATCTGCTGATTCTGCAATTTTCAATTCAACAAATATCAGCTGATTCCGCCATTTTTTATTTTAACAAATATCAGCTGATTTTAAAAGCATTAGCTTACATATTCCATTTTAATTTCACTAACTATAGTTTCCTTAGCAATTAATTAAACTTAAATTTGTTCAAATAAACGTGAGAATATATTTATCTTTTAACTAAACAACTTACATCTACGCTTATTTCTGCAATTGCACCTAAAACAATTATATTAATCATTATTATGCATTCCATGTATATGTACAAAATATAATCTTTTTTAAACAGTTTTTTTACACTAAGAGGGTGTCCGAAAAAAATGCTCTTTTAAGCATTGTAGCACGATCATCATGAATCAATTTTTGAAATTTTAGATATTTTTTTTAATCTATGGAACAGTTTTCAATCGATTGATATCAGTTAGAGTTATTTAGCACAAAAATTAGATAAGTTAATTCATTTTAAAATTTGACATTTTGTCTTAGTTGTATTTGAACTTATCGTTTTATGAAATTTCTTTATTGTCTAAAAAAAGCAAATCCTCTGAACAAATCTAAAAAATGGGGAAATATTCTTGAAGAATGTCAAGACCTTAGTTTACAATGCAGGAAAGAAATAACCACAAGTCGTACATCGTAAATCTATATATAGATGGTATTTCATATTATTTTTAGTTTTTTATGATCAGCTAGTAACTTTTAGAAACATTTCTTCCTGTTTCGAGGATTTTTGATAATGAAAACAACATTTTCATATTTTCCAGGAATATTTGGAAATCCAGCGCCAGCGAAATATTATTTAAAGAACAAAATCAGAAATATTATGAAATATTAACTATATATAAATGCATCGATAAATAATCGAAGACTATTTTTTGTAATATCTGAATGATTTGTTTAGAATTAAATTGATTATTTTAGGATCCGAGTTAAATGTTGAAACTTTCTGAATTTGTATGGACGCTATGTTCTTCAGCATGAGTCGTTTTTAACAATTTTCTCCAGATAGAAGTAAGATTAGTAGTGATCAAAAGCGCTTATTTTCGTCGTAAGCCTATACCCCCTTTTATTTTTCGGTAACACTCCCTTAAAGTCAATTATTATTTTAATTATCATCATATCATTTTTGTGTAATTGCAAACCCTTATCATAATCCACTAGTGCCCGGCGTTGAATTTTGAAAAAAAGTTCAAATTTTTTAGTCTATGTTAACCCCCAAGGGTACCAATGTGTTCCCTCAAAAGATTTCAGCAAATTTGGTCCAGCCGTTTTGCCACCTTTAGCTAATATATATATATACTAGACTTAGAGGGCGCTTCGCGCCCATCTTCTAAATTAATTGTGAACATGTTCTCTTTGTGTACATCGAAAACAAAACAAAAATAATTCGCGGATTTTCACAAAATATTTCGTGGATTTTCAAAATTTTAAAAAATTTAATGAAGATCGAATTTTGATGGAGACAAATATTTAAAATTTCTATCATTTATAAACCTTCCCTGGGGTCCCTAGATGTCCCACAAAAAATTTGGGCCCGATCGGTTCAGCCGTTTTGACGTTTATTGGATACAAACAGACAGACAGACAAACATACAGACAAGCCAAATTTATATATAGATATATATGAGCAAACAGCTTTATTATATAAATTCAAATCAAATGTCCAAAGTTTTAAAAATGTCTAAAAATAAAGGTGAGTGCTAAAATGTCTAAAATAACATTTTTTGTGGGGCAGCTTGTATCTAACTCTATCCAACCCTCCTAACTCTATCCAACCCTCCTAACTCTATCCAACCCTCCTAACTATATCCAACCCTCCTAACTCTATCCAACTCTCCTAACTCTATCCAACTCTGCTAGCTCTATCCAACTCTCCTATCCAACTCCTCTATCTCTATCCAAGTCTCCTAACTCTATCCAACTCTCCTATCCAACCCTCCTAACTCTATCTACCTGTTCTAACTCTATCTACCTGTTCTAACTCTATCCAACTCTCCTAACTCTATCTAACTGTTCTAACCTGTAAATGCGTCAACACTGTCAAGATGCCAACAATAAGTTTCTCCAATTCTTACAAAATCCTCAATACGTATACCAAGATCAGATTCTTCAAGTTTACGGGCTTTCTCGGTTTCTTTGTCTATACATCTAAAATATATAGATAGAAAGAAATTTGAGTCTTTGTCACAAACTATGATTTTCTAATCTCAATATCTTTGTAACTATGAAGTCTGTTAGATGAAAAAATCAAGTGGAAAAAATATTATGAAAATCAGAGTTTGTTACAAACAAATAGGTTGTCAAGTGAGTCAAGTACAATAGATGCGTTCACTTTTAGTACACCTGTTTATAAGTCATATGTGTCAACATAAATTCTGTGTCTGAAAAAACTATAAATAAAAGTGATAACGTAAGACTAAAGTGCAAATCTTTTAGTGAAATCAGTGCAATTTTATATATTCTTTTTTCTGTTTTTACACTTCATCATTTAACGCTCTATTGACTAAATAACAGGGTTAAAACTGATTTTGTCTGACTGACATTGTAATTGGAAAGCATAACGTTAAAACATATTTTAGAAATGTTTATTGATATATTCGGGGTAGTGCTCTGCAAAGGTCTAATCGAGGATAAAACACCAGATATGGGGAAAATACAGGCAACAAGAAAAAGTAATTTTCTAATGAAATGTCGTCTTCTCAGGATATTCAATTTTTTTCTACAAATGTCGTATTTTACAATTTTTGGGAACACATAAGAAATATAGAAATTTTTAAAGAAGTGCTTACATTATAAAATTAATGGAAAATCTATGTAGATATATATTATATACAGGGTGTCCAAACAAAAATTTGCAGTAGGAGTATTGGGTACTGAGGCAACAATTTTAATTAAATTTTCATAATCATGGTAACATTAGAAAGCTTTATATTTTAGATTGCTTCTTTAAGTATGAAGTAGATGAGCCGAAAAATCGATATCCCGTATTTTTCAAATTTAGACTTTTTACATATTATTTTCATTTGTTCATACAAAACCTAAAATTGACAAATTTTCGTACATTTTTTAAAGTAAGCTGTTGGTCTGATGTTTCTTTATAAGCAAAAATTTTGGATCTGCAAAATGTTTTGTGAAAACTTGAATATTATATTTGAATTTCGCAAATATGTGTGTCTGTGTGATTTGTTTGTATATTTGTTTTAACAACAAAAAACGACATTTTTCAAAATCCATCAAGGTGGGGAGAGGGGGAGGGGGGTACTTTAAAGGTATACCATGGACAAGTACTAAGTCAACATTACATTATTATGAATTAAATGAAATTTTTTGGTTTTTATTGATTAT